ATTTAAATATTGGTACATTAAATTTATTCAATATGGTATTCTTCTGTAGGTAATTATTTGTAATTAATTAAAATATAATATATCACACTATCCTAGTATTCAGTAAGTACTTATAATAATTAAGTACCTATAGTTAACATCTAAACATTGTATCATGGTTCTAATCCATTTTTTAAATATAAGTCATCACTATAAAATAGATACTTACTTTTATACTATCCTTCAAGGCAAATATTAAAGCATCACATACTTCAGGTATCAATAGTGAAATTGCTGCTACTGAAACTTTAAATAAGTACATCAGACTGTGATAAGAGTCACCAGTTGACAGAAATCTTAAAGTTATGGCTAAACGATCTTGTACAGAGATTGGTTCTCGGAAATTTGTTGTTTTTTTTCCAATCACTGGTCAAATTAAATTGATTAGAACTTCAAAAGTGGAACTTGACAGTCTTAGAAAATTTTGGAAACTTGAACGTAGTTCACCATTAAGCCCTATATCATCCTGCAATAAATCCTTCAATATCTGTGTTCCACCCATAGTACTACGATGAAGTAAAGTTTTTTTCACCCAGTAACGTCTTTTTTTGGGGGGGCTTGTATCCATGACTAAGTACACAGCAGCTATCATCATCATGTCGTCATCACTGGAATCATCACTTACAGACATAATTGCTCGAATAAATATATATGAAATATAAGCAAAGTGAAATTAACTATGGAAATTTTAAATTATTTTAATATAATATAGCCAATATAGGGAATAATATAATGTAAGTATATAGGTATTATCATTTATAGATAATCAATTACCATTTACCATAGACCTTAAAATAATTGCCAATTACTAATAATAAATGTATAAATAATAAAATCACGAATTTTGTATCTGTTTTGTCTTTGCAGAATGAACAGCTACAATACAAAACAGAAACATTTTTCGTAGTAAATGTTTCCATTTTCTTTTTTTGGTGTAAACAGAAAGTTGCTGTTTTATCGCTGTTTCTTATTTGTCGCCAAATGAATAAATTTGAGTTAGTTGCTGTTTTGTCTGTGTTTTTTGTTTTGTCGGCTTGGTGTAAACCCGGCATTAGATACAAATAGAAAAATTTGTATGAATTTCTAACTAAATATAATTTAATAATTTTCGTGATTTTTACGAATTTTTGGCAAAATTCTATGTTTAAACGCTCATAAAAAATTACTGTGGATTTTAGCTCAACTTTTTTTAAATTTCCATTAACAACAACTTACAAGGAACCTTGTATTACATTTTCAAAGTTTTTGACGTTTCGAAAAAAACTAATAATAATCGAAAATATTATATTATGCCTTTAAATAGTTCAACATGAATCAAAATATTTTGAAAATCATATGGTATATGGAAATTGTTAACACAAGCAATCAGTTAAAATGTCATGTATCTATGATAATATTTTTAAAAATTACAAAAAAAAACAGCTTGTTAAAGGGCCCCTCGATTTTTAATTATCATCTTAATACCGTAAGACACAGTGACAATTTACATAATTAAATCAACAAATTATAAATCTACAAATGTATTATTCTATACTACACATCACACAATATGTATTATATTAATATTATTCCTATCACCAATTGTTTGGAAAACGATATCTAAATCTAGCTAAAAAAATTTAGCTTAATTTTAACTACAAAATAAATCGTTATCGGTACGACGAAAGAGTAATATTTTAAGGATACCCGTTGGATAGGATTCCTACAATTGTTATTTTTTCTCTGTTCTTTAGTTGGAAATTTCCGTGTATTGCCGTATGTCCTAATTATAGGAGGAGCAAGAGCTATATTCTTAAAATATTTATTTGATTAGATATCTAAAATTCTTATGTAGGTACTTACTTCAGTCTTCAATTATATAATATTGTTGTTGTATGTACCTCGCAATATCTAGCGCCGGCACTGTTTGCCTAGTTCATTATTTAGTTTTTATAACTAGTTGCATTTTATTTTATAATTTTAATATAGGTATTATGGTATATTAAATTTTAAGGAAACTCATTCAAAAGAAGAACTAACAAATTTATATTTTTATAAACTTGAAAGCTCTAGTTAGTAGTTTGAAACACAAATACACAATATTGTTATTCTACTCGTCAAACAATGTATTTGAAATAAATTAATATAATACTGAATTCAATAAAAAAGATCTTTTTAATAAAGGTATACATTTATATTATATGATAATCTTCTTACGCATTTTTTTTGCTTAATTCAGTACGAAAAGTATGTTAAGTACTTATCAGATAAAAACTTGTTTGTAAAAACCTTAATCGATCAATTTACTGGAGTCATAAAATTGTATTGTTTTAATAATTTGCATATTATTATAACTTAGATATTTGATTAAATTAGGATATAATATTAATGTCATTATCTTAAATTTGTACAATCTCACAGTATAAATAAAACTATGTACCTATCTATCAAGCTTAGGCTTTTGGAGACAATCGTTTACACAATTTGTTTAAATTGTATTTGTATATATTTCTTTAAATGCAATAAATATATTATTACTATTATTATATTACGACTTAAGTCATAATTATGACTAAAATTGTTTGAAAAAAATTTATTGGCAAATGTTTCATATTTGAATAATATACAATTGATATTATTTCACTATAATAATAATAGTTAGACCTAAAAAAAACTAAAACTCTAAATTTGAACTTTGAGGGGGGTGGGGGTGCTGAAGACCTTTTTGAACCAGTGGTTATTTTGATAAAACATCAAGGGGGAACTATTTTACATTTTGAGACCTCCCCCCATAATTTCATCATATATCAAGTACAAAGTACAAAATACAATTTGTTTATGGTTCTGTAATAAATGACATATAACTTTCATAATTTAATAGTTAAGTTTTATTGGAATATTTATAAAGTACCTCCCTAATTTGTGCTTAGGTACCTCAAACCGTGTACATAATGTTATACAAAATATAGTAAGAAGTCCTCAGATTTAACTGTAATCTTAAAAAACATGAATAATAAATACACAACTTAAGTAATACATGTAAAGCAATTCAAGCATTTAAACTAATTTCAATTAAAAAAAAGGACATACAAATAATGTCTAGATAGCTGTAAAAAAAAATACCTATATTCACCATGTAGAATATTTAGATAAACAGCTTAAAACAATTTAACATGTACCTAAAAAATTCAACTAATCAGCTTCTAAATGTTAATTAATTACATTAAAAATAGTAAACATAATAGTAATAATCAAAAAAAATTTTAAAAATTAAATAACAAAATCAATGTTTCTTTTTTTGCTATTTGCAAAGCGTTCTATTACCTTATCTTCAAGAAATATCAAGGTCTCTATGAATATGGAGTAATGGTAAGCTACAAAGTCTATCATGAGACATCTTTGTCCTTAACTAAGTCCTAGGCCTGGAGCATTTATTGTAAAAGTCAATTTTAATATATACTTACTTATCTTGGAATTTAAAATCAGTCATAAAATAATACCTCCTTAAAGTAGAGAAACTGCAGTATTCTGCTGGTGCCACGCTTATTGGTAAAGTAGCAATTATAGTCAAAATTAACTTCTTTCACTTCTAACATCTTAGGTACTCAAAACCGACTAGGTTATTAATTTTAGTTGTAGGACTATACTTTGTGAAAAAGTACATTTGATGATTCATAACGTTTTAAAAAAAAATATAAAGAATTAAAAAAAAAAAGTTTGGACATATATAACTAGTGAAAATAATATGAGGTCACGAACATAACAGTCGACACAAAAAAATCCAAGAGGTGGGGGTGAGCAATTGGGGCCTTAGCCCCCCCTAAAAACCGCCACTGTTTTGAACACCTCTAGTGGCACCAATGTGAATATATTTTTGTGATGAGAATATAACAATTAAATTACACCTTATGCAATTGACTAATAACTAAGAAAACGAACATGTTATAAAGTTGTTATTTGATTTATTATGATAAGATTTCATCAAAAGAAATACATACAAAGAATATTATGTTGAATAGCAATATTAATGATTAATAATTATTTACGTTAAAAAGTATAATATTTTGTTAATTTGAATAATATAAGCTAAATAATAAAATAAAAATACATCATAATTCATAATATAATACTAATGCTTAAGAAAAACTAGCTGCGTAAAAAACACTATAACGTCACCTATATAGTATGTGAACCTACATTGTATGACGAAATGCCCGAAACCTATGGCGTTTGAACAACAATCCACTTTTGTACGATACAGTTTACCATTAACAATGTAATTGAAAGGTCGAATCGAATTGCTTGTATAATATAATAATTATTTGTAGGATATTAACTCTGATGTGTAATATATTATATTAAAAATTTGAATGGCCAGGCTATGTATTTGGCTATTTGCATTTTGTGGCAGTAAATATCGAAGGTTTTAAAATTATTATTGATTAATTGATTATTACTATTGACGGACAAGGGATCGATGGCCAAACAAGATTATATTTTATTAATATTAGTTTATCTGTAATCGTAATTTGTTCATGATTTCATCAAATTCTATAAGATTTTGTGAACTAGCGTGGTGTGTGCAATACAAATTATGATATCATAGATAGCGGTATTGTGCGAACGGAATTTTCTTGTCAGTAAAAAATTATTGATCTGTTGACTCGGTTTTTGGAGGGACTGTAAATGGTCAATGATTTCGGTCTGTTTTTATTTCCGGTCCGTTTGTGTCAAGAGTAGGTCAGTGGCGAATGGGTAGAAACCCATTTAGGTGACGTTACGCGTAATAATAGTATATTGTATATGTGTTCAAAGTATACCAGGCATACTTGTGTATAGGTTATATGTAAAGTGTAATTAATAGTATAAGATTATAAGAATCATGATATTAAAAATATTAACATAAGAAAAAAAAGCACCAGTTACTGTTTGTTACACGAAATAACAATGCTGCTGGTGCGAATACCAAATGGCATAAGCTACTAATAGTAGTTTTTGCCATCCTTACTAAAATGACTAGGAAGAAAGAAAATGTAACTGAATGCATCAGGTGGATACTGTGGGTCATGGATGTTTTTAACGACTCCGACTTCAACGATCCCATCTCTTCCATCATGCGGCCCTCCAAATGATTTCAAGTGTCTGTCTGGTATCTTGGGACAGCAATTTAAGTTGTCATTACCGCATGTCTTGTAATTGGGAGGTTTATGATTATACATCTTGCATATTTCATTAAACATGCAAATGCCTGGTGCACCTGTAGTCATGATACACGGGTCAGCTGTAAAAAAATAAATTCCGAAATTTCACCAATATTGTTATAGTGAATAAACTTTTGTAGACTAGTTGGATAGATTCATAACCTGGTATTGAAATACATTAACTGTCGCAATGCGTTTGCACCCTAAAGGGGGGTGGGCTACCCCCCCCCAAGTAATTTTTAAACATAAAAGTAATATTTTATTATTATTTATTTACTAAAGGGATATTATAAAATCTACGTAGCAGCTGGTTATGTATTCTCATGAATTCAGAATTGACTTTTGAATGAGCTTTTGTGTTTATAGTTTTGTGGTAAATACAGTGTATATGTTACCGGCAATATGGAGAATCGGGTATTTTATAAAATACCTAGGAATTATATAAAATGACAAAAATCACTCGGAAATATATATAATATACAAGCTTTGCCTAGGTATTATGTATAATGCCCAAGGTGGAGTCGGAAATATGATAAAAATAAACAAAATTGGGTATCGCCTAATACCAGCGACTTTACTTACAAGTTATAGTTTACCGTGAATGGACGCACCGTGTCCGTGTGTGCACGATTTGGTGCAATGAAGATTGATATTCTGAAGCAGTGATACGCCGGAAGTCAGTTCACTGTATCTCAAAAATAGCTACTACAAATTTACAATGTTCCAACAGGTACAAAAGTGGCTTTAAGAACAGTCGCAAAGGAACAGTCGACAGGAACTAGCCAATGATTTTTAAAATGTGTATTGTATGATCAAGTATCAAAATATAAAGTGCATATGCCTTAAAAATAATGTTTTTTTGCTCTTCAAAATGCCATTTTTCTACAACATGTAGTAAAAAGTATATAGTAGTAAGTAAAATGTATAAATAATAGTACTTAATATAACAATAATATTAATAATATAGCAATACTTATGTATAAAAATATAATAGTAGATAAAAATTAGATTTTGTAATATGAGTAATAATATATTATAATTATAAGAATCTTAATATAATATTATAACATACTATGATAAATTGTTTTTTTACTTTGCCTAAAAAAAATTGTTATTTTACATAACGCCTAGGTATATCATAAAATACCTAGGTTATATATAAAATCATATGTTTTATTTACATTACCTAAAATGGGTCGGCAGTATACATAATGCCTAGGCATTTTTCAAAATACCTGAATTATTCATATTGCCGGTGACATATACACCTGTTACTTAAATACATTTTTACTTATTCATTTAAATAAATCATTTATTTGTTTAATCCCAAAATTGATTATGAGGGGGGGGGTTAATTGAAATGTTATTTGGCTAATGCCCCCCTCTCCCAGTATTAACACCACGAGTCAGCCTATACAGCGTTTCGAATTTTTGATTATTTATTTTACCTGATTTAGAAATCATCTGTTTTTTTAAGTGATCCTAATATACAAAATGTTCACGTAACTTACCGCATAATTCTTCGCACGTTTCTCTTGTGTATGGCAGATGATAGTTTTCGGGGCAAATGTGCCATCCATTCTTCGTGAACAAAGGTCGGCACGCTCTCATCTCTGTGTCGTAGTACCATCCGGTAAATTTCCAGCCCGGTATATAAGTCTCTGAAGTATCACAATTCTTTAAAACTGGTCGGCGACATCTGTGATCTTAAAAAAAAATCAAAATTAATTATTTATTTGTTTGCAATACCTCTAAGATGATCAACGATCTAAACCAGTAAAATTAATTTAAAATGTTGTGATCGCCAAAAATGTATTCGTTGTTGAAAAATAAGGGTATTTCTTCTGAAATTAAACCTTTTTAACAGAATAAAACTCAAGTATATACTTAATAATACTAATTTTATCAATAAACAATGATCACATAAATCGTCATTCAATACCTGTGAATGAAAGTTAGAAGGTTAAAAGTTAGAAACATTTTCGAAAAATTATACAATTAATGATTATACGAATAATATATTACATACCTTTATTGCTTTGAACTGAGCCGATTAGCAGTAAGATGATTATCATTAGACCTAACCGGATGTAAGATTTGGTGATGATCATCGTTTTATCTTTTCTCTGCTGCAGTACAGAATTTAGTACGCTGGTAGGTATAGGTAAAGACTAGCGGCCGAAATATTTCTAGAGATGTACTGTAACAATTCGAACTGAGTGTCACAATTTTACAACGGCCAAAAGTGGGGGGTTAGTAGTTTAGCGCATGCGCGTATATGTGCTTGTGTGTAGGGCCTGCGCCGCGCGATGGCCTAACAATTCCGTTGGTAGGATCAGGTAGTTTTAGTGAAATTATATCGGTTACTGACCAATTTTTACCTGTGGACAATCTGGACCTTCACTTTAACTTCTCCTTAATATGCAATTAGTACGAATTAACATGACTTAACTCAAAATTCGCTCTTCCATTCTCTTCCTTCAAAACTTTTTTAAGTACTAATACGGCGAGGATGAAAACATATTTGAATTAGGAAAACGATTATGGTAGGGAGAGTGAATTGAAGATTTGGTAATGCAAATACTTGATAATTATGCCCTAAATAATGTTGCCGGATAAATGTTAGAATTCCAAATATCTCGCTCCTGGTATGTTGGGGACATGTATGGATTAAGAAAACGATTTTTGCTAGCCAACAGTTAAGGTTTTGGGACAAAATTGTGCAAATACATGTTAATTCCAAAACAAGCATCGGAGTTGGATACATTAATATATACAAATATTTTTGTGATACGGTTGAGGAAGTTGAGACATATGTCCCAATTACTTAACTTATTAAGCCTTGACTTACGCTTTGTTTAGATACATGAAAATTGTGAAATGTATCGTATAAATTCTTGCTAATTACGTACTTGGCAATTGCATTAAAAAATTGAATTTTTCTTCGAGGTACCATGATAAAAATACGAGTAATGTTAGGTAATGTGGTAATTTAAGTAAAAATATTTAAAGTAACGATCTCGAGTAACGTAATTTTATTACTTCTTGAAAGTAATTTACACAATACTAGTCGATATATACCCTTATAATCGTTTTTGTTCACACAATGATAATGATATTATTTTGAAACGTCGTTTATGCCACAGCGGGAAACCCATAGGAAGTCGTGTCCGAAGATGTACTTTGTACCTACATACAACATTTAATAATGGCCCCATCTATCTGATGCTGACTATATATTGTGTGTGATTGTAGAATGGACACACAACAATATCTATTGACTATATTTTATTTTAGACCTTTTTAAAAGGAAACCACCGTCATCGAGGGATCAACTAATACTTGATTGGCGTCACGAAGTCGCCTCACACATCTATACGTGGTCAAACAATGGTAAGATATAGAATGTGATGTGTACCTATTTCTAAGATTTTTCTGTTGAATATAGAGAGAAAAATATATTTACCATCTATACATAGTTTCGTGTTCAATATGAAAATAAATTACAAAAACCGAAAGGGCGAAACGTAGTCGAATGAAGAAAAAATTCCCAAAGTATTGCTGTAAATCGCCGATAGCCATATCATTATTTTTGGCTATAAGCATAATAATACACTTAACATAAGGTTATTATTATGAAACTCTATGATTTGAGATGGCTTATCAGTTATAAAATATTCAAATAAACACTAAACACTATATATGTTTAGTTCTTTCCATTTTCTTCGCCACACGTGTAATACACATTTTAGTTAAATAGTACCTATAGGTATTTAATACATTTGCTAATCATACTCCTCTTTTTTTGGTAATAATGCGGTTACTCAAAATCGGATTTCTTTGATTTTTAAGTATAATATACCAAAAGACCATATTTTTATACTCATGAGATTTTTTGTAGCATATCATTTCCTTGTACATTCCAAACCGTTCTGTGACGATTCTAACAAACTTCCGTTTTTTAAAAAAGAACATCCCTTTTTTTTCTTTGAATAAAATACAGTGGATAATATTTTTAAAATTTTGATTTCTGATGTATCAATGTAAAAATAAAAATAAAACTAGAATGGGTAATATCCGATATACTAAACTTTATATACTGGGTCCTAAGGAATAATAATAGATAATAATAGTTCATATATAAATATATAATATTAGTCCTGGTCACCCGATATAGTTGTTATAATGTTTAAGTTTCAATTTTAAGTCCCGTTGTCTCTACGAAACTACCAATAGTTAGTCGTTTGTCAGTTTCCAAGTCATCGTTCGTCAGAACCCACTGCCACACTCTGTACCAATATGTTACTTTTTCTTTAATTTTCCCACAATTTTTAATTATTTTGTTTCTCAACTTCTCAAACCAACATTTATCAATTTGTAGGTCTTGCAATATTTAGGTACTATATGTTGGGTTCTGTGGTGAAACCTTCCTACACCGAGTGTCTTCACAACATGAGGTCTGTGCGTTGTGTATCTGTGAATTGTACATTTGTACATTATAATAATGTTAATCCCTAGCTCAGATGAACACAATATCAGATATTTCTATGAAAAACCTCTGTCAGACCGTTAAAATTTATGGTTGGAACCGTAGCAAAAATGTTCACAATAAAATAAAATATACTGTATATAACTCATGGTCCATGTTAGTCCAAAGTCCATCCTACAAGACGTTCGACGCAGTGATATAAAAATTAACAATATATAACATATAATATTTAAAAGGAAAGTAAAACTATTTGTGTGCAGTAGGTACATGTATAAAATAATGTGGATACAATAATATGTGAATGAAATACCATGTAGGAATATATTTTAACGGAAAAGACCTCCCTGGTGTCGTCGCTTGACCCTTGTAATCCTGTACCGACGCTCAGTCGAAGAGAAATCGAAAATACCTTTAGACCCGTCATAAACCATTTATCTTGCGAACCGTAGCGCACTGGAATTTGGAATTATATTATTCTATACTACAATACCCATATATATAGACTACCAATATGTACACGACAACAATAGATACAGTCTGTATTTTCGTATTTCAGTTATACTGTAATATTATATTATATCGTTTCAGTATCTTATTAACAGACACACCGCACACGAAGTCCGAGAAATTTTGTTTTCAAGTGCAGCCTGGAGGTCCTATAATAGTTATAGTATATTATACCTGCATCAAGTCTATATTATATGGCTGTGGTTACCAAAAAAGGAGCCCACGGATAAACTTTATCCAGTCAGTGGACAATGAAAAAAAGTAAAAGCTGATAATATTGTAACCTCGGGCGATTACAAAACCCTCCCCTCCCGGTAATATTGTAATGATTAATGTGTAGTAATTTTCTACGACACCGTTGTATAAATGATATAGGTATAAAGGTTGCGGGTTGAACATCGTTCGGTTGCGGTGACAATAATATAATTAAAACTATTTTATTACATATAATTACTAACGATAATACATATTATGGATCAAGGTAACCATTGAAATATTGGCTATCACTGGTACTCGCGTATCTGCAGTGACAAATCAACACCAAATAGGTTTTTTATGTGATAATTTAGATTTTAGACAAGACAGTAGACACTTAGTTACAGCCTACAGGTACTGAGTACAATTAAACCTAGGTATAATGAAATAAAATATTAATAATACAAAATATTATACTGAACCACGATGACCACAGACCTGGTTGACGACGATCGATGAACCTAGACTAGGTCTGTTACATCTATAGAAGGATGAATGATTATTATTCTAAATTGTGTTAATTAATCAAAATGATTATATACTATGTATATTACACATTTATATAATTAATATATAGGTACCTAATAATATGTATACCTATTACAAAAATTAAATTTAAAATATACTAGATTGGTGCGAAACAAGGATCCAATTACCTCCAGATTATTACACACTACAAAAACAGGTAAGTTATGTTAGGTTATACAGTGTGATGGTTATTCGTTTAATTCTGAATTAAAAATCTACACGATTGTAAGACCTAACCCTCCTAATTTAGTATTAACTCCATTATGGAAATGGTCTCAGCAGTGGACTCGTGTGCAATAGGACTTTTTAGGTCTATAAAAATTAATTTTTGATTGTTGTCAATGCTTATTAATTTTGCCTATAGTCGTAATTGTTGAATCTAGGACGTTTCCCTCCCGTGCCTCCCCCTCCCCCGATACAATGTACACCCCCCCCCTTCCGCCCCTAACGGAACAAATTCCCTCCTATACAAAAAAATAAAATATCTGACAATAATAATAATATACAATGCAAATAAATTTGCTCAATATAATTTTATTAAATTAATATATAAATATAATAATTCAATTCTATTTATTTAGGTAAATATTTTATTTACATTACTACATGTATTATTACATGCTGCAGACTAGTAAATGACCCATGATATAGGGGAAAAAAATTATGTGTAATATAAAACTGATGAATAATTAATATATTTTTTTTCAATAATCACATTATTGAAATACTTGACAAAAATCTTATTTTTAAGTTAAAATGTATTTGATAGTATTTTTAAAATTATGTAATCTGTGAATAATTTATAGTTTTAAAAATATTAACGATTTATAATTAAATACCTTCTATTTTGTAATTGGTAACAAATCATTGCTGCAACTTTAGCAATGAAACATCAAACATTTTCACTATTGTGTTATTCAAAAAGGTGCTGCCGATAAGAACCGTTCGCAGTGGTGTTCTACCTATTTGTCCACAATAAACACGACCTTTGCCGTCGATAATTACGGCAGAATACCTATTTACAGCGATTATAGGGGAAAGGTTAGGAGTTTCACTAGTTTCAGGTATTTATAAAGTTATAAGTCCCGATAAAACTTTAAACGAGTCGCCGTTTCTATAGTTGTTTTGATTAGCACCCACCAGCCTTGCCCTAGGATTGTTAATGTCCAGAACTTAATGAGGACCCACTCACATGAATCGTCACCATCGCTGCGTTCAGTTTACGCCCGTGTCAATGAACAAAAAGTCTGCCACCGAAAATCACTTAGCAATCATTTACAGCCTTACATTATTGATTGATATTTTAAAACATTGATACTTTTTTTTCATATTTTTATTCGTATTTTAAAATAGTAAAAATTTTCTGAAAATGATCTAGGATTATTACAATCCTTTAAAAAATACGGAGCTGATAAGGGCCTTGAGAAGTTCTAAACCACTTTTCTCGGTTACTGTGAGGTTCTAAAATTACCTTGGTCAGTAGTTCACGAATCAATATATTGAATATATTTGGTTCAACATATTAATGTAAATACGTATTATCAAGACTATATAGACGTTCCTGTACTCAAAATATAGGTTCTAAGACGAAATTACTTGCTAAATTCACAGCTGCGTCGTGTGTTGTGTCGTATTGATCAAATCGCATTGACATCGGATGTTACTGTTTTGATAGCATGTAATAACCAATTTGGAAACGAGTAGGTATACCAAGAAATGCAAGAATTGATTACAGCTCAATTTGTAAACCAATATGGTTACCAGTTGTAATACCATATAGGCATATAATATCCTCAACCTCCCACAACACGACAAAGTAGCTGTGAATCAGGCTTAACACAACGACCACGGGCGGTGGAAGAGAAGGAACTAAATATTGTTCCTCATTAAATAGAAACATGTGGAATCTCACAATTTATATCTCTCATACAGTCATACACGATTGACGCGGTTCATGACAACGGCGTCGTCGACCATGATAGCCCGACTAACGACTCGTCGAGAGTCGCCACCAGGACCAGAGGGTTAAAAATCGTAAATAAAAGATTATAATATTATACCATTGATTATACTATATATCAACGCAACTATATATTGGCCAACATAATATTGCCGAAGACTCGAAGTACAAAATAAAAATTATTATTAATAAAAATTGTCAATAGAAAACGAACAAAATACACTGCTCGCAAGCACACATAATATCTGTGGTAAAATATTACATTTTCTGGTAATGATTCATTATATTATATTTTCTCTCTACATTTTTTATGGGAAACGATAATTATTATCGACCGAGTTTATGACTCCAATAAGAAATACACCTGTCGCTACAACACAAAAATAAAATTTTTTTCACTTATTATATAGGGTTCAATATCATAATCGTATTTTAAAAAATGCAAGTGCTTAGTGATTAGGTACCTACACGAAAACAACTGGTATAATACTATAGTACAGTAGTATATTATAATACCTTAAATACCTACGTTAAATATGAATTTAAAAAAAAGTACTCCCAAAATACTCTTTAGTTTTTTAGTCTTAGATTATAATCGTAATAAGTTCTCGAATAAGATGACAGAGCACCAATTAGATAAACATATTTACTTTATTATTTAGGCTGGAAAATAAAAATACCCACGGGGAACACTTTGTAGTTTGTACGGTCGGTTGATGGTTTTTACTATTATACATATAGAACATAATGATATAATTAATAAACATTTTTTTTTTGTTTTTCTTACGCAAACCAGCAGCTCCGCCTTTTCTCTTCATTATTTTTAGTTAATAGTTGTTGTAAAAAATAACTTTTTCCAAGTATAATCAATGAAGAATGAAGCATTGGCATAATGCGAGTATTATACATTTATAGTTTTGTAGCCAAACGCCCAAAAGTGCATACTATATAGTATATAGTATATAACAATAGTTAACAGCTAGGTATATAACAACACGTCTTTACGTTAATTACGTAAGCACGTGAAAACTTCGTACAGAATCTTTTATTGATATTTTAAATTTCATATTCAATCGATTTTGAAGATTTATTTTCTGGTAATTGTTCAACGGACGTAATAGTTAATATTATTTATTATTGTAGAATTTATAACTTGCACACAGTATAGTATGATGATTATGTTCCGATTTTACTTCTTCAACTTGGAATTCAATAGTTGATTATTATTATTGAAACCTAATATTAATTTACTGGAGTATTTACGAGTATGTCTATTTTCTACAGTGACATAACATGTAGCATTTTTAGTATACGTAAATATAATTAATAAGGTTATATGCGTATGATAACTATTTATAAGCTAATTAAAGTTATTTAAGGTTTATTAACTTTTTGAAAATATAATACAATTTAACCTATTACTCAATATTGTAATATTACAGAAAAAACAGTTCGAATGTAGATAAGTTGAATGTTTAATTACAGAAAATAATATTACAGAATTCAAAACAGCCAAAATATTAAATCCCAGAAAATATTTAAACAGAAAATAAAATGAACGAAAATAAATACTACAGAATTTAAACTGATATGAATGTGTATCGGTAGAACGTAAAAATTCAGAAACAAAATACTGCGGAAATTCCACTTGGTATATAATTCCAGAATATAATACAATTTTACAGAACGTTGGGATATAAGTATAAAAAATGTTTTCATAAAATATTTTCCCTCAACATTATGTATAAGAAAATTCGTGGGTTGAAAAAATAATTTTTTTATGTATTCCTGTTTTTAAATTAGTTATGTAGATGCTAATAATAAGTAACTAGTACACAGATATTAAGAAATAATAATGGAAATTGAAAAAAACAATGAAGTTAAAAATAGCTATAATCCCAGTTAAAAAAAATAAATACCTAAATACCTACAGTTATGGTCATATTTTGTGGGTGATATCATTTTATTTAGGTAGGTACTTAAGTTTTTTTTATACCTATCATAATTATATATTTATCATAATTCATAATTCATAATCATTATAAATTAATGTTTATTATTTTGTACTAGGTAAATGCTAATCATTTGTGTTAATATAATATTCTACATTTTTCAAAAGTCAATAAACAAGTATCTAACGACTGAACCATTAATAATTAATTATTATAACAACTTCTAAAAGACTCCGGCAACACTTCTAAAATTTAATAAATATTAAATATTAATATTGCCAATTTCACAATAATTGGAAATCACATTTTGCTTTTTTTTTAAATGTAAAATAGTTAGAAAACACGTTAAAACACGATTATTTTTTCAAAAACTAAACATAGTATTTAAATATAAAAACTTAAATTTGTAAAAACAATAAGTTACAATGTTTTACATAGGTGAAGTAAAAGTGGACGTACATATTCTTAGGGTGTCTATAATGTACAATAATAATAATATACCTACTAAGATGCATATGGGATTTGCATATTAGGTGAACTTTTTTAAATCATTATCTGCCTACGGGCTATAGTATTTTTCATTTATTACAATATATAACTAAGACTGATTTAAATAAGTTTAAACAAGTTACAGCAATGTTAATTTATGATTCTTTTACTAAATTGGGAGTCTTTATTAAAATTTCCCCAGAATTGTTCATACAAATTTTTACGAAGTTGAAAATAGTGCAATATTGTACTCAAAATATTTTATGTGACTTAAAATTGTAAAATGTTATTTTTTTTAAATTATGGTCTTAAATAATTGGTATTTTTAACCAAGCTTTCATAGTTTCATAAAACATATTTTGTGCTTACTTGGCATACGCCATACAGTTGGTACTGATATAGTATTTTATCAACAGACTGGCACATATAAACTTAAATAAAAAAATGAAATATTAAATCATATTTTTTCAAAATTACAATTAATTAAGAGGACGTTACATACGCGTTTGTTGTATACGTTTTACACGTTCGTGACATAGCAAATGTACGCTCAGCAATTCACGTTTTTCTGTGTTAGTATAAAAATTATAGCATTGATGACATTATTTGTGTATGTATGTTGTTTTTTACCATAATTCAGTTTTTAAGTGAGTTATGAGCATTTCTAAATTACAATATTTTATATAAACCTACAAGTTACCTCTTCAGAGGACGCTACCCATGCATCTTTTGTCTCCGTCTTACACAAGTACGAGGTACAACATGGAAAATTTTCGTTCACTTGTTTCATTAGTACGTTGTTATTTTTAATATTAGAGTGAATTGACCTATTATCAAACTTTTAGGTAAGAATATTATACGTGCTTAACTGTCAGCTTTATTCGATGTCTTAATTTTCAGATGAGATATGAGAATTTTTAAATTGTGATATTTCATACACCCATTTTTTCTACACCTATTATTGCTAAATATTGGTTCTCGTTTAAACTTTATAATTCAAATTACTGAGTTGTGAAACAAATTTCGTACTTATACGATAATAATGCGATAACTAATACACAATACCTATGCAATTATTGTAAGATAAATTATTAGAAATACATTTTGGTAGATACTCTTCGAAATTTCGTATGTTGACGGCTAGTCTTCTCTAAGATTTTACTACGAATTACCGAGTGTACTTAATGAATTGTTTTTATTCGATTTACTGTGAGGTGTTTGAGCGAACGAGCAATTATTTCGAATTACTGAAAGTTTCTAACTACCTAAAGTTTGAACTATCGAGAGTCGAATGTATATTATTATTTCAATTAAAATGGAATCGTAATTCTTAATTATAAGCGTAATAGAAAAATTTGACATCACGATAGCGGCAACCTCAAAATCGATCGGAAACGAATTTAATAATTATTAATTAGGTATTAATGTGGCAGCTTACCAAGAAGTCAAATGTGAGCGTATGTAGACTCCACCCATACATTTGGCGAAAATATAAAGTTCATTTATTGATTATTACTTATTTATTTATTTATCAGTTAAAAAATAAATTACTTAAAAACAAAAAATGTCTACAAACATCCCATGCACATACGATCTCGTATCGAACGTGGATGAGTCGACCCGCGGCAATGAGCTTTTGATGTCTATTAATGTTTAATACAATTATGGCACGCCCCAGACTTCGTCGTACGTACTTATCACATCCAAGTATAATATTATACCTATGTACACACATGCATTCACTGATTTTCGGTTGTCGAATTATTGTTACATCGTCGCCATAATATGATGATATATGATTATATTACACCTCATAGACAGTCATCGTAAATAATAATAATTTTGAAAAACAATGGTGAAACCTTTCGGTACTCTCGGTTAAGTCGAGGGATTGGTTTGTCGGTAGTTATTGTGTCGGAGGAACGGGAACCAGCTGATCTCCATGCTACCCGTCCTGGACCGGAACATGGAGTACGCTTTGTGCGAGGTTGTGTGGCAGCCCTCCTTCAGGGTCGTGCTCCAGTTGATCTCCTTCGTCCTGCTCTTAGTCTTGCTCCGGTCGTTGTTGTCGAACCATGTGACCCGGTACAGGATGTCTGGTGACTGCGGGTTGGCGTGATTTCGGCCGGGTGCCGGTGTCGGATGTCGTCCACTCAAAGGTTTGTTCACCATAAAAAGTCCCACCTGGATTCTCGATCTCACCGCCCGCGACAACAGCACCCAAATCAAGCCGTACGTCGACCGGACTAGGTATGTCCGGCGCCGATTCTTCGGGATTGCATGAAGGTCGGTCACTTTCAGCCGATTCGTCTGAAAAGACGCGGGAAAACGTTGGTATTTACTGTTAGCTTAATATTATATTTTATAGTGCACTGTGAGATATTATGGATACGCATCGTCGTATAATTATGGGTCCACAGTATTCTTATTATGTTCCTATCAAAAATGTTCAAAACCTAATATATACCATGGATGTAGATAATACCTACATCCGTGCTGAAGCAGTAAATTTATTATGCACCCATTGCACCCAACAAAACGCATAACCCCACCAGAAGCTGTCGTACAACTATTTACTAGCGACAGGCGGTAAACCTGTTTTCTGCTTTTACGTTCGTTTTAGAACACATTTTGTCCAATCGATTTTGAAATGCAACATCAGAATAATATTATATAACACTCTCTAAAATATGTGAACTGTAGACATACCAGCCCGGGTAAGCGTATAGTCATATTGTGTCGATATCGTCGTATTAATATTAATAATATTGTTTTTGTCGTTACCGAAGACTCAACGGCGACACCGGGGTGCACACTGGACACGTGATCGTACAGCTGCTCGCACGTGCCGACCCACTGGCACACTGCCACCTGGCACGGCACGTCGGCCACGTACCGACACACTGCCTCGTGTTCGTTGACCCACCTCACGGACAAAAGCTCGGGACACCCTAGTGACCTGTTGAAGCACGCCACCTTCACCAACGAGGTGACCTCGGTCAGTTTGACGACCATAGCCGTCGGGCCATCGAACTGCATCATCAACGTCCGGCACAGCGGGCACAGGCTGTCGGCGGTGGGGTTGATGCTCATCAGCGTCATCATGCACGGCCGGCACGTGGCGTGCCCGTTGGGGCAGTCGCACGACATGACCGCAGACATCAGGGTCAGACATATCGGACATTCCAGGGCTCGGCGGATCTGCTGAGAGATGGCCACGATCTCCTCGGTGGTGTCGGACGCCAGCGGCAAAATGGAAGCCGTTGTCGACACAACCTGCGGCGGCGCCGCGATCACCTCCGCCGTTGCTGCTGCTGCTGCTGCTGGCGCCACCAAATGCGTCGTCCTCGCGGTCGACGACTCTGCCGCCTCGGCCGAAGAAATCGCAGCCGGCACCAGAGTTGTCATCACGACCACTTAATGTTGGCCACTGCTGCAATAAGACAGACGTCACCGTGTAGCCGTCGGGTTTTCGTCACTCGTCACGTTTACGACAAATACATAATATCGACACGACGTGTATAATACATTTTAAACAGCGACACGGATCTCATCGTTCATCGTTTTGTTTATTATGCGAATTACAATTGCATGTATTTATTTTCAACAATCTCGTCTCCAAGCGTTTTGTTTTCTCATCGAAATCACGCATTCTTACAACGATGATGATATTATTATCGTTTTATAACAAACCGAACCGATACATATGTGGACACCCATTAATTATCAAGACTGATTACAAAATAATGATACAACTAATTTAATAATTATTTATAATTCAAATGTCTACCACAAGATATTTTGTAGTAGAGTAGGTACACATTATTATATCATCATGGTCAGATAATCGATAATATGTTCAATAATTTTAATAACTGAACGACATCTATACATTAAAATAGAAATATGTTTTGTTTAAATATCCAATTCCGTTCAACTTTTTTCAATATTGGATATTCACCAGTAAATAATTATAACGATTTCTCATAAAATGATTTTCTTATTTGCTTGTAATTCAAAAACAAATAACTGTAGATATATAGGTACTTAAAAACAGCACTGAATATTTGTACTAGAATTTCTTATTTATTTATTAAGTTTTAAAAATAAGTTGACTCTTTTTGAACAATTTATAGGCATGAGAAATGTTCGGTTTATAATATTTTTTTTCTATAAATGTTGTAAAAGAATTGAAAATATAATACTAGGTTCCTCGTAGGTTGTTATTTTAGTATGTTAACAGTAATAAACAAACATGAATACAATTTTTTTATAAGTATTTCAAATCAAAATTTTGACAAAATTCATCAGAATTACTTAAATTTGCAAATTATTTTGTAATTAAAAAATAAAAAATTAACAACATTTTTAACTTTTATAACTGAGGATAGAGAATTTAAAACAAAGTTTCTCATAAGTAATTCATTCTATAACCAACAAATCTAAACATTACAGTTTTAATAAATATTTTCGATTCGAATTTGGAAGAAATTAGATAGGTAGGTAACCGGTAATCTATTTAAACGTTCGAATAACGATTTTGGTTATTTTGTTGTAATTTAAAAATATTATTCATGGGTACTTAACATTTTTAAAGTATGTTATAATATTTTATACACAAAATTAAATGTTTTTGGAAAAAATCAATTCAACCTACTGACTACAGGAAACGAACTGTAATTGATTTACGTGAAAACTTTTCTATAAACCACGTTCTAAAGAGAGTGAAACTCATAATACTAAGAACTACAACATTAAATCAAATAAATTAATCAAAACCTAAATTAAAAAATATCAATATAAATTTATGCTAGTAATATGATTTGTTTGTACACAATAAATTATGCATTCATGATCTAAATTTATAATTATAAGTTCAAGAAAACATTTGTGTCATTAATTAACTTTTTCCTACCACACCCTTCCCTAACAAATACAATATATATATATTATATGATATGTGTATAAATTTTATATTTTTAATTAGGTATTATCAATAAAAATGAAAGCAGCCCTCAAGTAATTTTCAAAAATTACATTTAGCCCTTTCTAAAATCCTAGTGAGGACCGCTGGTCTATTCTACAAGCTTATACCTATTTTTATATTGTTAAAGTGGTCACGGTAGAATCTAATTTTAGCCAAAAACAACGAAAAAAAAATGTAGTTTATCCTTCAACTTAAAATTAATTAGCAATAATTTTTTAAGTTGTATTTTGCATCATAATAAAATCTAGATAAAAGGGCATGACGTAAACTGACCAATCTTGAACCTACAAAAATCGTAATTTGCGACAAGTTTTACTTTATCTACCACAATTGTAATTTTCGTCACTTTAAAATTATTATTAACATATTTTGTTGGACATACCTAGATATATAGTTTATGATTATTTTATTTATGAATCAAGTCCATTTTAATATTTAAGTAAAATAAAAAATGTAGTTAAGCTAATTTATTGTAATTGTAGGTATACGTAAGTCTTAAAAGAGTATTATTGTTGTTAATACAATACAACATGTAGAAATCAGGTATAATGCTTTCCTGTATACAGCGTAGTTTTTCAAGCACGCTCACCTTCTATTTGTATGCTTAAATTACGCATACATTCAAATTCTGATTTTTGAGATTTTTAAGTACATTAAATGAAAACTATATTTTTGAATACTCGAGATGTATTGTACATTTAAAATTACTAAAGATGATCTTGTGACAATACAATACTTGTGAGTATACTCAAAAATTCCAAATATCAGAATTTAAAATAATGTGCTAGGTATTAAAAGAAAAAACGTAAAAAATACATGTACAAGTATAAATCATAAACTAATGAAAAACTTCGAACTTGTGGTCGGCGTAAACTGTAAAGAGTATGGGCAGGTATAATTAAATTTTCATAATGGTACATAACTTATATGAGCTTTATAAATTTATGAAGTCCAAAATTGAAATTAAATGTTGACGTTGATTACCAAAGTTGGTATTTAGATTTTAGATGTGGAGCAAATAACATATTGTTTTTAAGTATTTTTGTATTTTAGAGCAGATTATAATAATAGCATTACATTTGTGTTGTATTAATAGCTAATGGTGGCGCTAATTACAAGTAGGTACCTACTCATATCGGCACAAAATACCATCATCTGTGGTCATTACTGCGAAGGGAAAAGTGGTAATATATCAATATTATAATATTATATTATTTTCAAGAATAATCAAAAGATTAGAAATAAAAAGAGTTCATTATTAGGTAAAATGTTATCATTTTAAAATTAAAATTTCTGATTTTATAAAATTTGTTTTGTTACATCCGGCATTATTATATATTAATGTATTATACATTTATACCGTATTTAAATAATTATGTACTTGCGAGCGAAGCAAGTTCCTTTTTTCATGTAAAGAAATTTCTTAAAATTTCCTTTCAGGCTTTAAATGGTCATTGCTGCAGCTCTACAGTTCGATGCAATGAAAATATACAAGCTGACAACTGTTTTCAATATAAAGCTATTCGTATTTGTAGGGTTTACGTAGCCACACGTACGACACGGCAATATTTTTAAAAAAAATAATGGACTAAATAATAATATAAATATATAATAGGTACTTGGAGGTAGCACGTGCAGCTGAAAGGGGCGAAGGTAGGTCGTAAGTCGTGACTGCGAGTGTACTGCTATGTACAACAATGCAAAAACTGTTTTGCACGGGACAACTTTTCTCGCACCATATTTGTTGTAAAACTACCAATATTCACAACACGTAAAGAAGAACTTAATCTGTGCAACAACGTACTTTTTTTCTAATTACACTATCCAGTCATTTTTTGTAAGCAAATGAAAAAAACAAAAAAATAAAATGTTTAGAAGCAAATAACTTTTATTGTGTTTATGTTATCTAAATTATAGGCACGCTGTTGCATAGATAATTTTCTACTCTATATGTTCAGAAATTTTGGAGCCACTACTACAAACACAAAAAGTTAAAAGTTATCCCCCGCAGTTTTTGCTATGGTGCACATTTGTAAGACGGAGACAACACATTCGGGTGTGACGTCTTCCTAAGCATGCATCAAATCGAATCTTTGCACATTGCTTTCCAAGGAGTCTAAGTTGCACTTATAGCCGCTCATTAGTGTCCACAAACAAAATAAAAAATAAAATAAAGCATATTATTCATATTATCATATAGATATATTACTAAATATAGTGTATGCACCTAGCGGGGTCTTTTTGTCTACCCGATATATACTGCTCCCATTATTACCACCAAGTCTCTTATACAGAGATGGCATTTTTAACTGTCAACGAAGTGAACGGGATCAGCTGCTATAGTACAATATTTGCGACCGTTCGACAATTTGCCAAATACAAATTGCACGTCGAGCGTCATGTGGTCGCCCGTTGCGCTCGGCAAGGTCACCAACTATGAACCTAGGCCCAAAAAGCCGGAGGATTGTGGATTTTGTTCTTCTTTTTTTTTTCAAAACATGTAATAAAAGAAACTAGGGGTGTAACAACAAAAATAAATAAAAACTCTCGTAAAAAGTCATAACAGGATAATGTTTGTACTAGTTTTTTTTTTAAAACTTATTTGACGCCGAGAAATCCGAAAGGTATAAAACTTGGACACAAAAAAGATAATAAAAAATAAAGAAAAAGGCATAAAAGAAAAACAAAATCAATGTATCCCATTGACAACAGTCGTTGAGTATACCAACAATAGTAATAATAATAATAATAATAATAATAATTCTACAAAATCTCGCGAGAGGGCCCGGTCGCTTGTTGAAGCCGAGTTATACATCACATAATATATATATATATATATATATATATGTTACCGTCAATGTCGTAAATTCAGGTAATGATGATATTGACTAGCCAATTAATATAATGCCTGGGTAACTTGGTCATTATCTATAATCAACATATATTTGTAACATTGACTTGGTAAATCAGACGATGTTATAATTTGATAAATTCACTAGTTATTATAACATATCCTATCGTCGTGTAGTCAATGTTATCTTTTATCGTTTTAACTTTAAAAACCCACGTTAAGATTAGGTATCTGTTTTATAACGAATAATAATAGGTATCTTTTATAGTTTTAATACTCACGGCAACTAACCTAACATAAGTATTGTTACAGTCTACGTTGTACTTTCGTATAATATAGTTTATAGTTTTGTATAGTTTTTCATTTCGAAAAGTGTTGAATTGTTTTATTAAAAAAATGAATTCAAATGAAATGCGTCAAAAATTTTACAAAGCATTATCTGATTTATTGAAAAATAAACGTGAAGATAATAAATCATTTTTAAACAAAGAAGAATATATGTTAAGATTGCAAGAAGTTAAATTACCTAAGGAAAAAATTGGGAAGAAAAGTGCAAAGGATTACAGATAC